GGTTTGGATAATGGAGGTGGAGGAGAAAAAAATCTCATAAAAAAATAAAATAGAAGGAGGGAAATTAAATGGGAGAAACTTGAATTCTAAAAGAAGAGCATTTTCATATTTTCGCCTCAGATTTTAAAGTTGGGCACTTTCCCCCTTACGTGTGCGTCTCCTCTAGATGTTGTATATAAATAGACATACAGAACAAGATAATAACAAGAATGACTGTTATAAAAATAAAAAAAGGTTAGCACTTACTGAGAAAGGGATAATAAAATCCCCATTAACGTAATTTGGTGATATGAGAAAAAACCAAAAAGAAGTCTACGCAAAGAAGGATGATCAATAGTTCATTAGACAGAGAGATAAAGAGAGGAAAAAAAGAAAAAGGAAAAAGAAGGCCACTAAAAAATACTTAGATCTAAATCAATTTTTTAAAGATTTAGTTAATTTCAAATCATAATAATATCATTTAATTCATCTAAGCCAATCTCATTTAATAAGAAAAAGGTTTTGATTATTGTTTAAGCAATTGTTTAAGTATTATGATTGTTTGGTACTACCTTCCCATTCCATTTGATACAACCAGCACACATATACTGTCATTGTCATAAGCAGATTATATTATAATTAACGTTAGTTCATGTGGAGATTTACATTGTACAAAAGTTGTGACAATTTTTTCATGCAAAGATCAAAATGATACCTTATAATAATAATAATAATAATAATAATAATAACAATAACAATAACAGTATATATTTATATTACCTAGAAAAGTTTATATATCTGAGCGTAAGTATAAATTTAGAATGTGGTGTGGTTGAAAAAGGGAGTAACAAAAATTTGCATTGATGAATCACATGAAAAACTGATTCTTTATATAATTTCGTGAGAGTCAAATGGCTATTTGCACATGGATGAGTAGCAGGTAGCTTAAGACTTAGTATCCTCAAAGCAAATTAGGACGGCAGAACCGAGTCCTTGATTCCGCGTATTCCTCCTGCTGTCAAGATGTCAAAGTACTCTTTATTAATTTGACATATATGAAAACTGTTTGCTGCTGATCATAACATGTATCTAATTTAAGTGAGGTCAGAAAAATAGTTCAATATGAGTTAAGGAATATATTATTTTGAGTTGAGACCTGAAATTCAAGAGAAAGAAATTTTATGTATCATAAAAAAGAGAATGAAAATTTTCACCACTGGATTTTAAGAAGATTTTAGGATTTATTATATTTATATAATGGTAAATGTGTATGCCCTTTCAAAAGACACAAACTTAAATCCTTTTAAGAGAGATAGACATAAAGAGATGTGAGTCCCACTGAAAAAAATATAAATAAAAAAATAAAGGTATATCTCTTTATATTTATCTCATTCTTAAATAATATGCTATTATTTAAGAGAATATTAATAATTAATGAACACCTAACTTCTATTTATGAGGTTTGCTTGATTTTTATTTTGGTATGTAGGGTTTAGTTTTTGTGATTAAAAGTTTAGGAGAAGATACATTGACGACATAAATTAATTACATATATTTTTTCATTATTATTATTATTTTGAGATTTAAGAAAGGATTCTCGATCGGAGGGAGTCTCACGGTAAGGGAAGGAAGAAAGAGACAGTCGGACAGAGTGTATTCCTAGGTTTGAATCCGTACACTGTTGTTGCATATTCCACAACTTTTTGTATATATTTCAATAGATTCATCGCTTTATCACTAATTCAATTCAGGTCAGATCCTGTATTAAGGTTTTAAACTCCTCTCAGAGATGATACTAAGAAAGATCAAGTATATATTTTCACCTACACTTGTTCAGCTCCCATATATCAATTGAACTATTACCATTTGATACTACTTTACCAACCGAGTTCTCTTAATAAGACATTTATTTTTTTGGATAATCATTGTACAGAAGTCTAAAAATAAATTGTTTTGTAAACTACTTGATATCCCTATTCTTTAATTAATGATTACCCAATTAAAATCTCAGTAAAATGAGATTATGTTTTTTATTTAGTTTAATTTGGTGAAAAAGAATCAATCACCCTATACGACATCAATAGTTAAATTTTCAGATTCCGAATACTTTAAAACAAATAAGAAACCATGCATGATCTTATGTCTTGATTGGGATAAGAAACTCGTTAAAAGCCGAAAAATATTCTTAATTGATTGGAAAGGTAAACAGCATATCGCAGAAGGCTTGATCTCATATGGCGCAGAACTATATTTGGAGTGATGCACACGGAATGTTAATTTGAAGTATCTTCTCTGGTATTCATACCTCTTGTATGAAGGTCTATAATATTTTTGATCAATCAATTTATCAGTGAGTTCTTGTTTTTTCTTTTGTATGTCATTTCTGTATTGTTTTCCGTTGGATGATTTACTAGGCTTTCGTGGAACTTTTCAATTTTATAGCTATGTATCATAGATATTATAACTCAATTGGGAAAGTAACTTAAGATGTATTTAATACCAAGTAAAAAGTGGGGAAATTGGGCTTTTTTTTTTTGGGTAATGTATTGTTTCATGCTGTCAAATGTGAGATCATTTGATTCTTAGGTTATATCTATGATTGACGAACACATATATTATTGGTTTTTCCAAATAAACACAAGTGATATGTGTAGTCATCCATTAAATTGATATATATGCTAAACATTCTGGTCATTAATAATGGGCAGGGTACCCATATTGCTATGAATAATGTACAAGACATTAAGTCGTTCAAACTATCTAAAATGAAATGATCAGCATTTACTAGTAAGGGCACATGATTCATAAATGGTATCTATCGTTGCTTGAACAACCTTCCTCGACCAGTGATGTTGAAGATCACTTACTGTCGTTCCTATATTTGTAACCAGAAGGAGATAAAATATGGGAAACACAAAAGTTCTACTTAATGTCCATGGAGAAGAAGGGATTGGAGATTCAACATAAATGAATGAGTGACATATAAATGAAGGCATTATCATATACCACCAGCACTATTGATATCATTTTTTCAAATTAATACAACATGACTCTATGTGACATTGAAGTTCATTTGATGATTGAAATATACAAGCTTATTAATAACCACCACAAATGTGTAATGATTATATCTAGGGAAATCAACTTGTCATGTTGGAGAAAATTATTGTTCATACATGCAGATAGAAAACCATGGTGGGACTCACTAAAACATTAAATCAAATAAATAAATAAACACAATTCCCCATTTTGAATGCCTCTGCATGTATGAACAGTAATTTTCCTACACAACATGACAAGTTGATTTCTCTTATGTCTATACCTTTTTATTTTCTTTTGGGGTTCAACATTATATGTAACTTTACTGTATACTTTGCCCAACAAGTTGTATGCAATTCACACTAACTAATTACATAAACTTTTGTACTGCATATATATTTTAATTTCAAAATAAGGAGGACTTTCGACTTTGATTTCATTACTTATGTATTGAGATACATAATTCATAATTTTTAAAAATAAAATTGCACACAGCCAAGGCATGAGCTTGGAGACTATATACCACAAATCAAGCTGGCAACTGAGAAAAAGGAGTTGCCTCAAGAGATGTAATAGGAAAAGAGCATCCGCAAATGACACAAAAAGCTTCTCATGTTGGTTTATAGAGGGAGGCTGTAACAATTAGGAGAGTGATAAGTACAAGTGCACAGAAATGATATATGAGAACAAAAATGACCAACACAATAAGCAAAATGCCCTGTTTAGGATTAGCATTTGGGTGATTTCACCTCCAAATCCTGATTTGGTATTTTTTGGAGTTCAATGGTGCTATTAATGCCTCCAAAATTGATCATTTCCTAGATACCCCTGTGTGTTTATGGAAACATACTAGAGAGTGGTCTTGGTAACAATGGTAAGGAGAACGTGTGGAGTTGTTTTTAAAGTTTAAAATGGTCGTATGCATATTTTGAATGCATTTTTATTCAATGACTCTTCCATTGAAATCATTCTCATTATAAAAAAAGGGTGTACGTATTTGAAGACGTCTCTGTAAATACCCATGTGAACGAAGTAATGTTCAAATTCAACCCTTCATCAATTAATTTACTTATTTATATGTAATCCCAAGAAGAAAATACAAGTACATACACATTCAAAGTCACCTCAAAACAAACAAACAAACAAACAAACAAAGAAAGTCACCTCTATGATTACACGTAAACGAGGTAATGTTAAATTTCAACCCTTAATCTATACTATCTGTACTAAACTTGAGTTTGAAGTTCGCATCTTTCCATGGTACAAGTTGATTTGTCTGGTATTCATTCTGTAAATAAATGAATTAAATTGATTGGTATAAAGAAATAAGGTTTTAGTCTAAATTTTTGAAAATTATGAGAGAATGGGAAAATAATAATAAATGATAACGAAAATATGAACTTGACATAACCAAGTTTACTATGCTACACAAATGCTTAGGCAGATAGCGGTGTTCATGACTTCTAGGTCCAAATTATCACATTTTAAGAGTCAACAACGAACTAAATATACGAGTTAACCCCTCTTACCACATTTCAATTCTCATTGCAATTCTCAATCTCAAGGTACAAACCTCCATCGCCAACCCTTTTTCCTCTTCTGATTTTGGATTCATCAGTTGCTTATATCTTCCATCAAGAGACGTCTATTAATAAGACCTTAAAATTACACATAACTCAGATACTTCAGTTTAAAAAGTTTGACATATCAAGAAAATACTCAGTTTAGTTTAGATTGCCTTCATGTGACTTTTCAACATTTGTCACTCATCCTTAAGTTAAAAATACTAGTTTGTGAAGATTTCATTACCTTACATGGAAGATGGAACAAAATATCTGCAGCACAAGTATTAAATTGTGTTATGATTTTTTGGAAATTTTAGCATGGAATAAGGATTTGTATTTATATATCCAGTAATCCAATATATCAAAAATCAGGTAACCTAATACCTTTGTTTTTTTATATCAAAAGTATAGGGCCAAAGCAAAATTTTGAGGAGATTAAGCATTGTTACACAAAATTTACATTCACTATGAACCCACTAACCCATACTGTATGTAACCATCTCTAATCCTCCAAAAGGAAACGTAGATCATCCATGCCTATGCCCATGCCCATGCCCATGCCATCATCCTTTGATCCCCTCCTAGATGTTTCCCTTTCTAGGTCTTTCTTCTTCTCCTGCAACATTAATATTTTCTCTTCAATGCTGTTTTGAGCAATCAACCTAACAATCTTCACAGGCTCTTTCTGTCCAATGCGGTGGACACGATCCGTCGCTTGTTCCTCAACTGCAGCGTTCCACCATGGCTCCATAAAGTACACTCTAGAGGCAGCTGTAAGATTTATACCTGTAGATGAGGCCCTAAGGCTTGCAAGCAGAACCATTGGCTCATCCCTTCCAGAGGCTTGAAATTTCTCAATAACACTAGCCCTATGTGTAGCATTCATTGTCCCATCAAGACGCAGAATTTTGAAACCAGCTGCTTTCAGAGGCACTTCTAGGAACAATAGCATCTTGCGAAATTGCGAAAATACAACTGATTTTGCAGCTGGATGTTGATCCCTCGTTTCTGTCAGAAGTTTTATTAGAGCAGAGGCTTTGGAAGATAACCTTTTCTGTGATGAGCATGATTCACTACTATTATCAACCTCAGAAGATTCAGAAGGGGCAGAGAACAAGTCAGGTTCCGAGAGTGTGCGCCGACAAAGAGGACAAGAATCACTTGTCTTTAGAGTTCTCAGAATACAGTCTCGGCAGAAAATGTGAGCACAGCATGTTATTACTATATCCGATGGAGGAGACATACAAATTGGACAGTCAAAATCACCATCTTGCAGCACCCCAACTAACTTCTTCAGCAACTCAGGGTTATTCGTAACATCTGCTTACAAACGAAACTATGTATGGTTAGTAAGATATACTTTATGCTATACATGATTCATAACTATCCTCAATACTAATGAAAATGTAAGTTCCACTGAGTAGTAGAACATACAAAACCATAGTATTTTAGTGACATGCATGATTAAATATCAGTTTGCTACATACATGCTTACTGGTAGGGATCTTTTTGCCATTGGTCAAAGCAGATTTGATTGAACATAATAAATTTGTAACATTAAATATTACAAAACAATACATCAATTATAAATGATACGGAAAATCAAAATCAAATGCAATGAATACAAATACACATCTCTAATTATTCAACGCATAAGAAAAGTCCTTCCTATTTAATTTAAGCTACTAAGAAAGTCATTCACCATCTTGAGCTTCAGTGCACAATATTAAAGTCCCAACATTTTATAGATACTGTTGGACATCTTATCACATACTATCTGTGAAAATCTAAATGCGAAGATGAATAAAATCTTCCATTTTCCCAGTACATGTTAACGTTAGCCTAACTGCTTAAAATAAAATATTCTGCCAACATGCTTGTAGCACAGTTGGCACTGGAACAAATCTTTATGACTTGCATATCTGATCCTCCACCAGACCACCTATCCTTCTCCCCTACCCAAGTACTTGCACCTCCATTCATTCAAAGGATTCAATTCAACAGCTACATCTATAAAAGTACTTCTACAGGAATTTACTTGACCAAATTGCTCTTGCTAGTAAATTTTCGTTGTATGATAAAAAACTGTTATAAAAATAACACTGTACCCAGTCGAAGAAGCTAGCAAGTAAATATCTACACGATCCTGACAGGAAAGGCGAAAATATACCTTCTGTACGATATGAAGAGAATACTGATTTGAGATCTGAAGGGCACAATGCCAAATGAGTACATATTTGGCGAAGTCGTAGGATCATACTCAGTACAGTGGAATAATGGTTCACTAGACAATCATTATGGCAATAATCGATCATTCTTAACTTTGATTCCTCTTTCACCTCATCATACATTTCACGTTCTTCCCGAGAAAGTTCAACATAACAAGTCTCTATGGCTTTCGGTGGCAGCCCTACCAATCCCTTCTCTTTTGTTCTTCGTAATGAAATTGCTGCCATTAAAACCTACAAAACAAGTAAGGAAAACCATATAAAAAAGCTTATGCAAAAAATACAAGACGTGAAAACACATACGAACAATTAGTAAGCAACATGGAAATGAATCGCCAAAACTCAAAATTCAGTTGGCTAAGCAAAAGGACAATAAGGATTAAATTGAGCAAATACTTCCTCAAGCATGGTGAAATACAATTTGAGTCCTGACTCTCAAGCAATATGCTCAATGAGGCATTCATCACATTTATGGGAACAGAGAGAAAATAATTGACAAAAAAGAAAGCAAGGGTACATTCATTGTATTTCTGCATAATGTAGCACCACAGTTTATGCAATTCTATATGCCAGCAGCCACTGATCATACTATGAACAAAGAGAACTAACACATTATTATACCTGCAAACGTGTGAGCCCTCTCTTCTTGGCCGTGTTAAGTGGACGCTGCACCAAGGTTCGCCAATAGACCCTATCTGAAAAGGGTTGGAAGCGTAAAAATCCCATAAGAGAAAACAAATCATATGAACCATTCTGAATCGGTGTCCCTGTGACAGCCCACTTCCGCTTGGCATTGAGTTCAATAACTGCACGAGTTTGTCCAGCATTGGTGTTCTTAATTGTGTGTGCTTCATCCAAGATGATTCTCCACCAATCTACTTGCTTCACCGCAGTCTCTAACTCTCTTTCTTCACTAGCTAAAGTAGGGTATGTGGTCAAGACAATATCATACATCAAAAGCTCCTCAGGACTCTTGGTCCTTTTATCCCCATAATATATGTATGTCTTCAATGACCGTTTCTCAGTGTGTTCCAATATTTGCGTTGACCAAGTTGACATTACAGAAGGAGGGCACACGACCAATGTTGTCTTTCTTCCCATGTCAGTAGAAGATGTCTCACTGTCACCAAAGAACATTCTTTTTCGTGAACCAGTGGCAATTTCATTTGCCCTTTTCTTCTTCTTAGACATCACCAACAACCCTTCACGCTGTTTATGCCCCATTTCATCTCTTTTATCAAAAGCAATCAAAGAAAGCAAAGTTAAAGTCTTTCCCAAACCCATAGCATCATTAAAGATTCCACCACGCAGGGGCTCAGGCCTTGAATCGGTTTGATAATTGGTCAACACATTCACGAACTTACCATCACTCTCTTCCCAAAACGGTGGCAACTCATCGGAATTCTCTCTGTGAACCAACCACCCAAGACCTTCCTTCTGATGTTCAAGAAGCTCCGTGGTAATCACGCTCCTCGGAGGCTCCAGCGCTTGCAAAACGCGCTTATTGCTAGCGAGATTCTCATCAACAAGATTGAAAATCGCGTCCTCGGTCTTGATTCTTTTCCCGGCTCTGGTTTCTTTAACGGCCACGGACTCCGAGAGAGTGAACGACGCTTCGTATTCGGTAATCAAGTGCAACCCACCTCGCAAGATTGCGGATTTAACGGTTGGGAAGTCGCGGGAATAAGCAAAGACGTGAACTTGGCAAGGGATTCGGAACTTGTTGGCGGCGGAGCGCGATTTGGGGATGATGCCTTCGACGATGACGAGGTTGGTGTCGATGAGGGGAGACAAAACGGCGGCGGTGGAACGGTCAATGTAACCGACCTGATCGGTTCGGGTGTTGATGACCTTGATGGCGTTTTCGTCGTGGTCGTTGAAGGGTTCGCGGACAAGACCCACCATTTCGCGGCCGGTGATGGTGGCGGAGTAGTGCTTGATACCCACGATGCTGGCATTGATGAAGCCTACCAGGTATGTGTCCGATGGAGACAACGGTGAACCTTGCTCTTCTTCTTCTTCTTGTTGTTGTTGTTCAGAATGCATCGCTTCTTCTTCTGGGTTTATGTTTCGGGTTTCGGTGTCGATTTCGGTTTGGGTTTCTCTGTAAAGAGGAATTTGAATGGGGGAGGGTTTTAGTTCAGTTCAGTTCTGTTCTGTTCTGTGTGTTTATATTTGAATCAGAAACGTGCTATCGAAGGTTAGTGGCATTCTTATCTTTATGACCGTTGTTATTAAAAAGGTAAAAATAAATAAGGGGAAAATATTTATTTAAAATTTTTCCTTTATTTAAAAAAGGTCAAAAAAAATAAAGGAAAAATATTTATCCTTTATCTAAAAAAGGTCAAAAATAAGGAAAAAATATTTATCCTTTATTTAAAAAAGATAAAAAAATAAGAGGAAAATATTTATCTTTTATTAAAAAAGGTAAAAAGTAAAAGGAAAATATTTATCCTTTATTTAAAAAAGGTAAAAAATTAAAGGAAGGTCATATTATTTAAAATTTATATTAAACTTTTTTTTTCACTCTCTCCCTATGATTTTTGTTATTTATCTTATTTTCTCACTTAAAATAAAACAACTTCATATTCTTTAAAAGGACAAACAATAATTCCAAAAATAAAATAAAAAAATATTTGTCCTTTTAAAAGATTATCATTTAAATTAAGAGAAAAATATTTATCATTTTAAATGACATAAAGTTATGTTATTTTAAATTAAGAGAAGCTGCATTCTCATAATTCATAAACTCGAACTTAAAACAATTGATTAAGCTAAAACAATTCCTTATCAATTAATACACGATTACACGTGATTAACCTCAATTTTTTTAACCGAGGGATTGTTTAAGAGGCTTATTTCAATTTTATTTCGGCATTACAGTTCTAGACCCATTTTTTATCCCATTCAGATTACCTAGTCCTATAATGGCTCTAATCCATGGCCAATTTTTTTCAAATAACTAATAAGTAGAATATGAACTTGACGTATGTACTTAAAAAAAAAAGAAAAAGAATATGAACTTGACGTTAAAAAAATTAACTAGGATCCACAAATAGGTAGGCACGTGGTGTTCATGACTTCAAGGTCCTACTTAATATATTTTAAGAGTTAACAAACTAAGTATATTAAATTGAGGGAAAAATATTATATCATAATAGATAAAGTTATTTTCAATAATTCTAAAACAATATTATTTTGGATTTAAGAAAATATACATAATATTTTATATTTTTTTTATTTTATAATAGGAACTCTCCCAAAATATCATTTATTTTTTTAATACAAACCTCAAAACCACTTCTTTTATATGGCAGGAGAAATACTAAAATCTTAAATTAATTGAAAATTGAGTTTTATGTCAGTAACTTTATTTGTAATGCATAATTTTATTCACTCGAAACTACTTCTCATCTATTAAGGTTACAAGTTTGACTATTATAATATTGATTAATACATATTTCAATTGGTTCATTAATTTTTGATTTGTTCGATTCGGGACTGGTACCTGAAATTAAGACTTTAAATCGTTTTCAAAGACGGTAATGAGAAAGATCGAATACTTGTTCTCACCCTCACCTGATCAGTTTCCTATCATTTGTTAGTAATTTTTTTATTACCAAAATTAGTTTTTTTTTTTCCTTTTTGGAAAGAAGATGTTTGTGAAATTTGAAATGAGCTGTGATTGAAATGGAAATGGTTACCCAAAACACATAACACAGCTTGCAAAGTACCCAAAAAAGAAAAAGAAAAAAGAAAAAAGAAACGAAAGAAGAAATAAATTGAGATAATTCGGGTCAAATGGATTTGGTGGTCGGGTTGCAACCCGAGTCAATGAGTTTTGTCAAGTTTAACCCTATTTTACCTATTGAAACCAAACCAAATAAATTTAATTGGTTTGCATTAGATTTTGGGTCCACTGGATCAAATTGAATCAATGAACGTCCATAAGAGATAGGCCCAAGCTCATATGTGATTTAGTGAGTTACCCGTACAAAGCATGGATATTTAAAGAAATCCTAATTATATTACATTTTATAATTTTTTGAAAATATATTTAATCTTTTTCTTTACCAATTTTACATATTATAATTTATTATGAATGGGATTGTATTTTAATCAGATGTAAATATGATTAAGAAAACTAAAAGATGGATGATAATGTTAATGTTTAAGAGAGGGATTTGTTTTAAAGAAAAGGACATATAGCATTTAAATGGAAAAAAAGTAGCATAACAAACTAAGCTGATCTAAAAAAAAAGAATGACAAAATTATTATATAAGGTTAGATGAAGATAAGCCATTTTTAATTTTGTATATAAGGGTTTTTTATTTTATTTTATTTTATTTTTTGGGTAAAGAAGAGATGGATGGGGAAAAGATGAAAAGTTAAACTAGTATCTCATTCACTATGAGGTAAAGCAGTATATTACTAAGGCAAGACCTTCTTCGCATGAGAAGTATTTACTATATAGTCTTTATTACATGTACGGAAGTCATTTGAAACAAACAAGGCTCAACTGAAAAAACGTATGGGCTCCAAATGGGATTTATTTGGGCCTCAAGGCCTATAAATTTTGGATTATAGGCCTATAAGCTCAAAGGAAAAACTGCGGTTGACCCCAACAAAAAATAAAAATAAAATAACTACTAAGCATGCTAAGAGCAACGTATAAAATTAAAACTGTTGTTTACGAGGCTTGACCTTAGTAAGTATATGTATGTTGACTACGTTCTAATTTTTTTATTTCTAAAATTATTTTGTACAATAGTTATAGAAATAAATGTTTTCAGTTTTTTTTTTTTGAAAGTTTAAAGTCAAAAAATATAATAAATTAAATTTGATTCTAAAAATAAAAAACCAATTACAATTTTTAATTTTTTTTATCAAACAGATTTTTTATTTTGAAAACCAAAAAGCTATTTTTAAAACAATATTCAAACATGGCCGGCATTGCTTAGTTTTCAATTTTTTGTGGGATAGAAGCATCTTTTTCCTCGTACCCTTACAGCTATCTTGATAATAATAAGAATTGATCTATGTACTAAAAAAAATTGATCTGGATTTATATTATAATAACACAAGCTCATTTTGAAAGCCTTTAGTCAACAAAGGCTACTACTTCTTTATCTCCCAAGCTTATCTCTGGTGTCGGATCCACTTGCTACGGTTGGGGTAGCCTTAGTCCATTGGTGGTGGCCTCCTGCCACGGGCTTCCCTTTGGACCCGCTTGACAGACACTGGTTTAGAATCGGGTTGTGCTCGAGCTAGCCAGGTGTTTGGCTAGGAGACTGGTTGAGTACTTGGGCCCTGAGGTACTCGATTGAGGGGGAGCATATCAATGTTAGGTTTCACACTTGAGGGGAAGATTGTTGAGATATTCGAGTAAGCTCCTCAATATTAAAGGCTATATGACAACAAGCTACTTTTTCCACAAATTTCACCACAAAAAATACTTCACCGCCAAGAAACTTCAACCACCCACAAGAACCAATATGGAGAAATCTTTACCTTTATCATGAAGAAAGGCATCTCCCGAGCTGGTCATCACTCCATTATATATACATGTGTTAACCCAATGTACACATCTTTTTCGACATAATAAAAACCTGCTTGAACTAAATCTGACTTAGTGTTGGAGTGTCTTGCAGGTATACGCCCCATAATATTGTTCCATTGAAGACCCTTGAGTTAAAACTGCTCCAACTGCAAGCTGCTTTGACTCAAGACGGTTCTAGACCATTTGTGTGGAAGAAAATCACATGATCAGCCAATTATATAACTGGTGCTGATCAAGAATAATAATTGTTGTTCCTTATTTAGTTGGATCATTAATATTATCAATAATACCGAGACATAGGTTGTTGAACTAACTGACCTACGTGCATCTCAATAGAATATGATTTGCTTACTTCCCTTTAAGCTGGCCGGACCATCCAATTTATAATTAGCATTACAAACTTTCGTAGCTATTGGCTATTTCTGTCCCCACTTATGTGTAAACCTTAATCTACGGAACAAAAATTGTTGTTACGAAGAGAAATGTTTTATTAACATAACAGTATACTCACGTGAATGATTTTTAGAATATATATATATATATATATATATATATGGCCAATGAAATACATAATAGATGGAGGGTACATGGTCTTGAAGTACAACTATACATAGAGATCAGGGAAAGTGATAGCTTTATGAACAACACTTTGAGTTAAACAGATATTAAAATATAAAGAATTTATAATATGATATTGTATAGATTCCAAAATATATAGATTTGATTAAAAATGTAAAGTTAGTATGATCGAAGTTTTATGTGTATAACGTTGTTTAAATAACACAATTCCAAAATTAACATATTAATTGTATCATACACTAACCTTGGAGTAAGACAACCGTTTCTCTCATTCAACTTTTATTCAACCAAAAAAGGAAGAAAAATAAAAGTCATTTTCATTTTTTATAGTTGCATTTGATGCCATACAAATACATGTTTATGTTTAGATGCTCCAATCAAATTTAAACATGATCTGACATAACTACATTTTTAGTTGTTTTCGTAAATTTTGATTTGAATAATTTTTTAATTATCATAATAGACATGAAAATCTCTGAATTCTTCTACATTGAATAAACCAAGATGTATTACAAACAGATATGAAAATAGTATCATGGTCTTGTTTCCTAAATTTTCATTTTTTATTTTGAGAGGCATGTTTACTTATGGCGTGACGAAAGCTAAACAATATTATATTTTGTCATTATTTAAATTACTATTGGATTAAACATATCGTCATTAATTTTTAAGCAAAGCAAAAACATTTTTACTTTTAAAAAGATGGAGATGACAAAATGATTTCTGTTCTGGGCAGCTCAATTGGCTAGCTCAATATTAGAGGGCTCATATTACCCTCAGCTCACAACATGAGAGCTGTCTTGGCAACATTGCCATCTTTGCACTAAATATCCTAATATAAGACATCAAAATGCCTTACTCGGGATATCCACCCATTTCATTTGTCTTCATAACACCAAAATGTCCCACTTGGGATGTTCTCTTTTTTCCTTCCCTTGCATAGCAATCGCTGCTATGCTAACAGCGGCTGCAAAGTGCTTTGCTCCTGCAAGGCTAGGCTATTATGACTCCTCCTCATAATCGTTGACTTGGCCCACTCTTCTACATGGGTGGAGCCTAACCCTAACTATAAATAACACCTTATTCTCCACAAAACACACACTTTTGGGAAGAGTGACCATTTTGCCACACTTGGCAAAAAAAATTACCAGACTGCCACGCCAACAGTAAATTTTGCCAAAATGCCACGCTGCACCCTTAGCCGTCGTTGAAGAAGTCTGAAAATAATTAAGAGTTAAGATAAGATAATGCGAATTAGTTATATTTTCAGACTTTTTCAACGACGGCTAAGGGTGCAGCGTGGCATTTTGGCAAAATTTACTGGTGGCGTGACAGTCTGATAATTTTTTTTGCCAAGTGTGGCAAAATGGTCACTCTTCCACACTTTTGCACACTTGCATAAGCTGTTACTCTGCCCATTTCGAGAGCCATAATAGCCCTTAGACACCCTCACCAATGTTATACACAACATCTGGGAAGTCTTTGCATAGCCTTGGTCTATACCATTGCTGTCAAGGACACCCCACAATGACATAATATACGGGTTACATACGTGACTCTCACCTCACTAACAGTTCATTAATTTTTAAGCAAAGCAAAGCAAAAACGTGTTTTACTTTTGAAAAGATGGAGAAGACAACATGATATCCATCGTTATGTTCGATGAGAAAGAGGCCAGTGTTATAGAAAGCTCACTCGAGCAATAATTGCATCTACAAGGTGAAAAAAAACTTTCTGTAGTACTTAATATTAAAGCATTGTCATAAAAAGAATGAAAGAAAAAGAAAAGAAAAGAAGAATAAGCAAATAAAGAGCCACATTGATGTACATTCATTGAAAATTTCGACAGTAATCATTGTTTATATGTGGCAAAGTTTCAATGCAAGTTACTCATTCTATATTCTTCCAACCTTCCATTTCGGGTTCTAATGGCAATGGTTTCACAATTCCAGTTCTACAATGTTTTTTATTTGGTAGATTCAAGACCAGACAGTGATTCATAAAAATGCACAGCTAATAAAGGGTTTTTTGTCTTTCTTTTTCTTGATAATTATTTTAGCAGCACAGCAGTAATTGTTTCTTCGAGTCTGCAATTAAATTCCTCTAGGGAACAAATTGCTCGTGTTATTTAAGAATCAGGTAACTGCTATCCCTTAATGATAATTAACATTAAAGATTACAACTTTATTTAGGACTAGGAACTGAAACAGTCGTTGATTCTTGTTGGCAGCTTCAACGACAAGAAAGTACAAGATGGAATCATGGGATATATGATTCTTATGACTAATAGTCTAATGCTATATTGCACTAGCACTGTGTATGACATAACACCACGTACTACTACCAAGAAACAAGAAAAGTTGTTGGATGATGAACATGAGAAAATCTTTGTTGTTGTTCATGGTAGTTGTGGGTTACTGGAGCTTCAGGTTCCTCAGCCTGCAAGATCAAATTAAAAGTTGATTATAGAGATAGTAAGTATAATTAACTATTCCAAAAGCAAGGTATGCTTTCTTCTTGTTGAAAGATTAGGCTTATGTGAATAGCATACATGTATAAGCACTTCAGATATTGAGACTCAAAGATAGCATTGTTCAATAAGCAACATGTGAGAATGTGAACCTAGAAATTTAGAGCTAGTTACTGTTATATATAAGGGTATTAGATTATAATACCTTTTCTCCTCCTCAGACACTCCACTTTTCCTGTAATTTGGGAATGGCACTTGTCCTGACTCAATATGCTTAACATCCTGAACAAGGAGCTCATAGTGCCTCTTCACTTCATCTGGAGTTTTCCCACCAACAGCATTTGCAACATTGTACCAACGGTCTGGGGTGTCCTTGTCATAAACAGCTAGAGCCCTTTCAAAGGCTTTATTGTCCTTAGCACTCCATGAACCAGAGGCTGACATTGAGCTTGATGCCATTTCTTAGAGGCAGGAACAATAAAGTTGTGGTTTGAGGATCACTACAGAGAATGGTTTAAGGTTTAAAAGGAAGGGTAAATTGACTGAATTAGTAGCAGTAAGGATAAACAAAAGGGTAATAAGAAGGTTGAGGAAAGTCTAAAGAAGAAGACCCCAAGGAAGAGCTGATATGTTGAGAGAGGTTGCAATGCCTGCTCCTTTTATAAGCAGAAGTGGAAGGTATGAGGTGGGGTGGTTCCAGTTAATGAAGTAGAATTTTTATGATTTGTCTCCTTAGGAACCAAGAGATGAGCTGGACCAAGAAGTTGAGTAGCTGCAACATGGGAGAATCAATATCTTCGTACAGTAAAAACAAGTGCATGAAATAGATAGGACTCATCAATAAGTTTTTTAAAACTTTTTCTTTTTTGTTTTCATCCTCCCCTTTCTCTTACTTTTGCTCAATATATATCATATCAAAGTGAAATTTTACTTTCTTTGCCTTCTAAATTGTGAATTTAAGAGCTAATGAAAGCTCATTACTTGTTGATAAACTGTTGAACAAAGTAAAACCTGTAAAAACCACTTTGGTTGATTGAAAATAAATTTAGTTTAGTTAGCAGATATCATAGCACGTACTTCAGCAAATGCACACAATAAACCTATTTGTTTTAAACAGTTCAGATATTAAGAAGTAAGAACGAATATATATATATTTTTTTTTATAAACCACATGTATTCTTTAAGAGAGGTAATCTTGTTCGTGGTGGATCCATGATTAAGATTTTAAACCCTTCTCAAAGATAGTGCTGATGATGATCAAACACATCTCTCACCCCTGTTTTACTCAACTCCCATGCACCAACTGAGCTACTATCATTTGCGAATAGTTAACTCCCTATCTGCTAGATCAGCTAATGCCTATCTTTATTTTATTCTCTTTCTTGCAGAGTTTTCAGTGGGCCCAAGCTCAAATCCACTGAACCCGTAGCAGATACATAAGGGAAAACAATGTGAGCATCATTTGCACCATTTAATGCAAGTTTGTTAACAGGTTTTAGAAAAACAATCGTTTTAAAAGCTGTTAAAAAAGAGATTTTTGGACTAAAAAATAAGGGTATATTTAGATTAATTTATTTTGAGATTAGAAAAGTTTTTTTGACATATGAAAACATTTTTTGACGGAGTGTTACCAATACCATTACCCGGTACATAAACCTCCACGTATGCAATATACAACCTTAAGAACCTGTTCAAAAGAGTTCGATTGCATATGAAATTCCTTTGTATTTTCATCACTGCTTGGTGATCTTGTAAATGTACTTTGTCCTGAACAACATTCCAATACTCTCTTACATGCCAGTTGTGCCCGTACAATTATTGTGGTGTCTTTTTTTACCCCGAGGAAAGGTTAAAAAAAGTTACTGACTACTCTTTGGGGCCTCTTCCCCCTCCCCTGATCACTTGGTTTCTCATAATGTTTTTATTGATTTAATTTACTTAGATGGCCAAAATATAAATGTTGGTTACATACTTACATGTACAAAAAAATTAGAACAACTACATAAGCTGCAGTTTAAGCACTGTCTTTTGATTTCATAACAGCCATAACCTTGGAGCATGACCATGTAGGAATCAAATGGCATATCACGTTTTTCACAACTAGATGATTCATTATAGGTAATCTGAATGGGGTTTGGTGTTTGTCATTTTAAATGACATAAGTTATGTCATTTTAGGAGAGAGATAGACACAGAAAAACGGAAATCATGGGAGAGAGAAAGTGAATGATTTTTTTTAATTTAAAATTTAAATAAAAAAATATTTATGTGTCTGTCTCTCTCTTAAAATGACATAACCTTATGCCATTTAAAATGACAAACACTTTTCCCATATGAAAAGGAGAGAGATAGACACAGGAAAAAAGAGGAACTTGTGCAAGTGGTCGAATATTTCAAATTATTACAACATTAAGAGGAACTTGCATGTGAGGTAAAAAAAGAGGAAGCAATTTCATAAGGGGATAAGTATTAATACTTCATTATTCTTTTATTGTTCTTATCAAAACAGTTTCCGGGTTGTACATCAAATACCAACAAATGCAGTACTGATATATATACAAAGAACATCTCTATATGATCTGTTGCTTTGTCTTTTGCTGTTACCACAGGCCAGTGCCATGGAGAACTATTGGCTTTTCAGGGATTGCCCACTTGCCATTAAGACCTGGTTATAGTATATGGATAATTATCTTTAACTGCCAAGTTTTGTCACGCCTCATGAAAACAAGATACATCTGTGGAATTTTGCTGCTTCTGGGTAAACACGTGGGTGAGTCTAGCTAGCCCTTTCATTTGTTTGGCCTTTATACTGTAAATAAGGAACATCCACAATCATATCTTTTTAACTCATATACGGTTGGTCATGAGCAAGAGAAAGTTAGTAAGGTGACAGAAACCATTATTAGCCTTATTTCTAAAAATGGTTATAACTTTGCAATGTAAGAATGATTAAACCAGAACCTTGTCATCAAGGTTAATTTGTATAAAATGATGCAGGAAGATAAACTTTTAAGCTCTTTGGCCACTTATTAACATGGTTGGTTTGCTGAATGTGTAGAGTGTGTGTGTGTGTGTGTGGGGGGGGGGGGGGGGGGGGGATCATCAAAAGTGAAGCTTTTTGATATAAGAGATTCAGAAAAGAATTATAGGATGATGGAGTTACTGGAAACTAGATTGAGCCAAATCTTGTAAGAGCATTATATTCTGCTACATTTAATTAATTGCAGCCAATCCCTCTCTGTTGAATTTTACAAATTAATTGTTGAGTTGATTTATTTCTAGAACAAGATTTTGCAATTTCTTTTACCAGCTTTATGGGCTATACTCAACATCTTTTCTCTGCTTCTTTAGAGCAGTAATAAGATACCATTACTTGTTCATGTTGTAATTGCTGGTTTTTAATTTTGTGCCTGGGCCTCTTTTTTTTAATTTTTTTTAATCTCATTACTTCGTTTGTAATTTTTCTAGTTCAGAAACTTGGTGCAGACATGCAAAAATTTTAATCTCATTACTTTGTTTGTAATTTTTCTAGTTCAGAAACTTGGTGAACACATGCAAAAATTATTGTGAAAACATGAACGTTCTGCACCACAAGCTGTTGAGTGTTATACGTGTAACGAGTGTGATTAGTAACATGTTTCTTCTAGGCTTAATATTGTTTAAATAAGCAATAAGAATACGTTGATCTCAATCAACGATTAAAATGACTAAGTTCTAATGAAAGGTTAGCTTTTGGAATTTGGAATAATGCTGAAGCTCAAAAAGCATCATATTTCAGAGGTCGTTGTAGTGATACCATGGCTACAGGTATCAACTTTGTTTAGATTGCCCCCGCCCTATGGAATTATTTCCCCCCCGAATATCTAGCAAGTAGCCCTAGGGTTCGATGTAGTATATTCTTCAAAAGTAGCCAAAACAAATGCTCAACATTTTGGAAATGCCTGCTACGTTATATAGAAACTTGGACTTGACTTTACGGAGGTATTTGGTACAGCAGAAAGTTTTTTTTACCAAGAAAATACAATTACAAGGAATATGGTCGAAAAATGAATTTGATAAGAAAGTTAAAAAAAAAAAGTTGTTTGGTAAGCTGAAATATTACCGGAAAAATTGCGTTAAATTTTATGAGTCTATGTTTGATTGAAAGTAAAATATTGATGAAAAAATAGTATGAAATTACCAAACTAACCCTTGACTAAATACAAAGAAGACTCTTTCTTCAGCTTTCTTTTGGCACATTTTTTGAGAAGGGATATTGGTGTCCATTGATTTTTTTCCTACTTTTTGGTTTGATGAGATAATTAGTAGTATTCTGAAATGGCAAATTTTTTCAATTTTACACACAAACTGAGATTGCTATGCAAATCCGAATTATGACCAATTTTTTTAAAACCTCCTACCAAACACACTCAATTAGGAAACCCATAATTCTCCTACCAGACACTCTCTATATATCTCGGATCCACTTGGACTCTCCTAGTTAAAATTTCACGTGACAGAAAATTGTGTGTACATATTCACAATTTAATAGGGCTTCACCTGCTTAATATCTATAAAAAAGGGATAGATATTAACATTTCACATGATAAAATCATTGAAATTTTAACACGAGAGTACTTATTTTCCAATATTATTGCTTTGAAGATCTTTAAGATGCTGTAATGATAATGATTGCTACTCGTCCAAAAGGATAAGACATTTATGCCTTGCATCCAAGTCTTTTAGATGAAAAATTTGGAAATTCTTTGATACTTCATACAACTAAATGTAATTGACAAGTCTCATTTCCTGTTTAACTTTGGTTTATGTTCAATAATGTACTTTGTCGTAACTGTTCAGACATTTTTACGACATCAACTTTATCCTTGCTGTGCAGGATTTCTATAGAAGATCAAAATAGATAATAAAATCCATTTATGAATCGTAATATATCATAATTATAGGCTAATTCTAGCAAGTTAAAAACTCTATTAAGTGAATCTAGTCTCGCTATCAAGTTGCATCAATCACGGTCACTCTGGATCCGAGCCACAATGTATGGTAATGGGGTTGGCAGTGATCATTGGTTTAAAATTACTCCATTCATGGAATCTTTGAGAAAAAGAGATGGTTGAAGATCTGCCTCATCATGAATATAGAATCCTTATCACCCATTCTATCTCCAGTACGAAAAAACATATGGACTCTTCCACCATTACTGGAGGATTCCTTTCTCAGTGGTCCTTCATTACCAGCTGAAAAGTTGGACTAATGTTTGTTCAACACTAATTATTCTCATGCATAGTTGGTTGATTTTCCAGGAATGATTAGTAGAGAAGCGTACTAAAACGGTATTGTATCAAGATTAGGCTTTTAGACATTATTGCAGAACACGGAACCAGGAATTTTGAAACTTTAAGGGAGGAGGCAAAATGCCTAGCATATAGTCTGGTCCTAAAATTGCCGCAATAGCATAAAGAGAAAGGTCTAATTAGATGAAATATTTGGTCAATGCAAAAGGTTCTGAAATTAAAGTGGTACACTGTTTTTTTATTTTTTATTTTTTATTTTTTTTATTATGCTTAACAAACCTTGTAAGGGAACTGCAGAAAATACGCTGCTTGTAACTAACATGCTGTGTGTTTTAACTAAACTTTTCAGTTAATAATTAAATCATGAAATTGTTGGAAGCAATATGACATGGCCTTCCCAGTATTGCTGTATTCAACTTGCATGTGTTAGTGCACTCATAGGATATAAGGCATGCAAATTTTCAGAACTCTACATGTAACAAAAGATCGGTAAGAAACAGTTTTGAGTTTTAGACACTTTGGTTTCTTTTTCAAATTTATATATAAACATGAATTGCAATTTACTCACTTTAAGGGTGTCCATGTTAGATTTCATGGGGATAAAACGAAGACAATGGACAGAAATACCTTAGTTTCTTTCTATAGCACAGGATACTGGCAGGTTTTCCAAGTTGGACCGTTTTGATGCTCTTAGGCTTTTACTTTTATCGTTCTTACTAAAGTTGAAGCAAACACTTGTATCTTGTCTCCTTGGTGATTCCCCATAATGCGTGGTGTTCTCCAAAATGACTGCTCTGCTTCATTTATCATCGGATATGGATTATGTTTCCGGTTGTTCCATAATCAATTGTTACAAACATTTTTAGTTAGTCATACGTTGAGATCATAGCTACTACACTAATCATGAAAGTTTTGCACGCAATAATGCAACTGTATAACTAGTAAAAGCAATCTTCCTCCTATGTATTAAAGAAGCAGCAATTGGAATGATAACCAAATTTTATCGAAAGAATATAGATATGTTTTTCCTTCCAACTTAGCAATCTGGGTCAGATGATTGTTTTGCCAGGCAAGGTTATCACACGAAGTTTTAGGTGTTCTCTATATATACCCTATTTTTCTTAATTAAAAGCAACTTCTATATCTCAGAAGCATCTTGCCGAGCAATCTAACCTTTAAACATATGTAGGAGTAGATTTCAATATAAATTACTATTAGAGATAAATAAAACCATTAAAAAGACCTTCACTTAACAACTTAAGTTTTTGGTTGAATTGTTCTTTACATGGTATCAGAGCCTCGGTGTCACGGGTTCGATCTTCACCGCTCCTCACTTTCTCTTATGGAATTTCTTAACACAGATAGGTGGACCCGTGCATTGTCCACTCTTCAAACCCAATGAGTTCTCGTACGAGAGGACGTGTTAGAGATATATAAAATCATTAAAGAGACTTAACAGCTTAAACTTTTAGATTGAATTGATTCTTTACAATTACCAACTAATTATAATTGTGTCCTTTCTCTAGGATTCTGATTTTCTTATTTGTTTTAAAGGATTATTGCTACCTACGGATCTTGTTAAAGTTACCAGAGGAGAAAAGCTTAAGCTCCCCACCCCCAACTCTCCATCTCTCTCTCTGTCTCTCAGTCTCTCTCTCCTCCTCCCTTCTATGAACACAATAATTGCCTTATAGGTTAAAATGAGACAACTTTATACGTCCCCCCAAGTTATATATTCTACCTTCTAATGCAAATATCCTGCTACTTGTTATGCTCCATGCTCATGTCTCCAAAAAATCTTGAAATGATTCACTTCTAAATTATTTTGGCTCAGACACTCGGGACATCTATCAGTTAGGAGATGGGAAATCTTTGTTGTGAATATATATGTATGTCAAAATTCTGAATCCCTTTCCAAATGCAATTGCAAATGTCAGAATTTCTTCAATTCTTCATCCACTTCTGACTTGTTTGTAGAAGACAAATTAATTCAACTGGATTTAGACAAATATTCATCCACCAGTCATGAAGCAATGGATCAACTTGAACATTTTGTGAACTATTTGCTCAATTACTGGCATGTAGCCTTCCCCCAAACAATAAAAATTTGTATTGCACAATCATGAACTTGTGAAGTGGGACCTTACAATGTAACTTCTCAAGTACAACAAAATATTCTCACTATGAAACTCACTAGCATTCCACAAGAGATTTCCACATTCTTCAGAAGTAAGAACATTACATCAGTCATTTAATTTCATCGGTCTGACTGATTTTATGAGTCTACATCAGTGAGACCAAATGCATCAAATAGTGGTAACCCTGTGAAGTAAACAATGAACTTTCTCACTAACAATTTAATGCTATAATTACACTAGTCAATTGGACAACTTTGAACTAGCTAATTCTGAGAAAGCTCCTAATGTCATTGTAAATCTCGCTAAATTTTGTCAATATATCCTTATTCAAATTTCTATAGCATCACCCGAAGATTATGTATACCAAGTTAGACAAGTTTTCTGTGATCTGCAGGGTAGTTGGATGGTTTTTAGGATTGGTTGTTGAAAATAAAATGGTAGCCTTATGATCAGGTTGGATAAAAAAACTCTATAGGATGGTATGGCAGTTAGTTTGTGCTTCTACCAAGTAAGTAACCTTCTTATTGGACTAAATGCCTTTCACCATCCTTCACAGGAGAAAAAAAAATCCTTTCACTATCCCATAGTATATGCAAAGGTGTCCCAGGATTTGGGCACTTATTTCTGTTGGTCATGACATTTTCCATTTTATTTTTATTTTCAACGGCATTGCAACTCAATGTGAATTTCACTGGAGTTTCAATAAATAAAAAATAAACAAGGCCCAACAAACATGAATTCTTATCAATAATATTTGTCATGAAGAAAAATATATAATGATATATTAACATTCTTCAGGTCTTAAATTGTAAACTGAATCAATTAATCACTTTAAATAGTTATTACTGCATGGAAAAAGAAAAAGAAAAAAACTTATCGGGGGTTCATAAACGTACTTGTAAGTTGCAAGGGTCTAGGCCCTTAGGCCAAGGTTGGTTTAAAAGGGTAATTTTGCAGTTTACAAGATTGAGACTGGAGAGTATTTCATCAAGATAATATCATAACCAAGGCATTCGCCTCCACTAGTACAAGTTCCCGGCTTGATCTTCAAGTTGGACCTACAATCTTCTCTGCCTCTAACGAAAGAGAATGGCCCCAAATAATTACAATCTTTCTGTCTCATAGCTCAAGGCAAATGTCTGTGAATTTCTTTGTGCCAAATGGAGTTTGTTAAGAGATCGATGAATTTAATTTGTGCACAGGGCTCTACTCATGTACCTTGGTTAAAATTTCAAAGATAACTCTACCAAACTCCCACGAGATCCTCCTCGACCCAAAATTCTAAACTCCAGCCCGAGGTTTCGAGCTTTTGTTAAGATTTACAAGTCTGTAATAGATATATTCAGGTCCAAACACATGAGAATTTTTTTTTCTCTTTTGGCATAAAGGGTAAGAGGGAGGGAGGGAGGGGGGAGGGTTATAGATTGCAGAAGATTTCATGAAACATCCATATATCTTTCTTTAACTACTATTCGTATACACATGGGAATTGGTACCTTAAATATGTGCGGATATTTCTAACTGCATACCTAATCAGTGTTCCAATAAACATCATTTTTGTGCTAAGGCAATGTCACTAGATATCATATAAAACAATACAAACAAACAAGCAAAGCATAAACAGAAAAAAGGGATGACATACAGAATCTTGAGCCAGAATAGATAGAACAATTCATGCCAAAGAGGATGGGGCTGCAGGCAGTGAGTATGATGATGAGATTTTCTCTCTTTTCAGTTCCTTAACAACAACAGCAAGTGCCTCAGGATTGACACCAAGGTCACAAAGGGCAATGAGAACAGAAAGTGTGTGCCGGTCCAAACCCGTGTCAAGTATATTTGATATATTGGATGCCAGTTCTAGAGATTCTAGTACAGTTCGTGCAGCTTCTGGATCCATATTCAAAATCAATCAGGGTACGTTTAATGCACCAGTTTCATAAAACTTATCAGCTTACACCTAAACAGAAGCCACGGATTCAGATACAACAAATCAGTTACTGATAGAAGAAACACAAATTGGAATTATTTGACTTCCAATACTCATGAACATAGTGTTCGGGAATTCCACATCCCCTTCTGTGTGTGCAATTTGACTTCAACATAAACACATTAAACATAAATTCAACATGATTCTGCCTAACATGCTTATATCCACAAATGAGACGAAATCAAATTTATTATAAACAACATTACAATACAACTTTGGAATGGAATTCTTATTGTTGTCAAAACGATACACACATTGACATTAAATTGAGTCAAGTTTGAAGCAATCGAAGACAAAGACATACCCAATCTTGTTGAACCAGAAGGGCAAAGAAGAGGTTAAGATGCGCCATCAACTAGGGCTGAACCGAATCGAAATGCTTTCAATTTTCAAACAAAACACGTAGCGAACCGAATCGGTTCCTCGGTTTGGTGAACGAGTTATATGGTTTTGAACCGGTTTTGGAGGTTTTAGATTAATATGAGCGCGCGCGGTAAAGATGAAGATTTGGGTTTTGGTGATTTTATTGGATTTTGGGTAGAGTCTGGGAGTGTGGAAACACACGTGAGGTTGGGTTTATAGATGGGAAGTGTAACATTAGCGTCTCGAGCCGGTTAAATTAACATACACATGATATAAACAGAAACAGCGGAAGATTTAATTTACGAAAATATGAGCTAACTTTTTCTTTTTCTAACTTAATTCTTACTCGGCGTAAACGAAAATCGGGCAGAGTTTCCTCTATAAATCGGACAACTAGAGAATTTCCAATCCCACTCAGAAGCATTTCTTGATAAACAGTTTATACAACATATCAATTCAGAAATACCATATATTCAAATATAATCAAATACCTATACATGGGCGCATGCATAACATGGCTTCGTGCCACTATATCTAACAGCATGCCATCAAAACGTAAACCTATCTGAATACTACATCATCATATAACGTGCCTGAATACTCAAATGTACATGCATCAAACTGACAGACATGTACAAAAGATATATACATGCCACATACAAAATATAGGATCTAACATCATGATCCACAAATTACGGAAATACTAAATGAAGGTACTATACTCCAAAATAAAAGTAGTCTATAGCTACTCAAAATCCAATCCGTCCAAATCCTTAGCCACGTGTCGCGTCCCTGACTAGAGAAGTCTCACCGGGAATCTGGGCACCTGAAAATATGGCCCCAACGAGGGGTGAGATTACAAATCTCAATAAGCTCCAGGTTTATAGAGAATTCTCCATACCCCTGGCTCACTCCTGCATGAAAGTCAGATACAGAGTATACAAATACAACATATAACAGATATTATAACAGAACAGAGCATATATCATATCATATCAGAGATGTGCGTCGTCATTCCCAAGGGAGGACCCCAAGCGGAAATCAACACACGTGTTCCCGAGGGAGGACCCCAAAGCGGAACCAGACATATCAGAGGCGTACACCATCAGTCCCGAGGGAGGACCCCAAAGCGGACATCAGGGCACTATACAATCAATGGCCAGAGATTGTTATGGAAATCATATTACAGAAGTCATATCAGAGCAAAAAATATCATGTTATCAAATATCATATCATGCCTACCTTTCACATAAGGCATACATTTTATCGCTTCTTTTCGTTTCTTTATGTTTTTGCCAATGCTATGCCAATACACAAGTCTAGACTACCTTATACTCGTTAGGATTTCCTTAATTTAATCAAGTGTTCACTTGAGAATTTTCAACATAATTCATGCCATTTTCTCTAAAAGGCCGTGAACATACCTTTAGGAACTCAAAGTATTTTTCAACCCTTATTCAAGCCATTTCACTTCTTAACTCATCAATTTTATACAATACATTACAACACATTTTATTAAAATAAAATGTAACAAAATATATTCCTAAGCCACCCTATAGGTCGAACTCCACAAGGTCGTAACATAGAGGTATGGTTCTTATGATTTTTCCTCTTTTAAGGATCCTTACTAATTCATCATTTTTCTACTTATTACTACACTCTACACTTCAAAATACATGCATTACAATTTTTCATATCCTCCCCTCCTCACCCTCTCATGGCCGAAACATCAAGGGGATACAACATAAGGGATTTTTTTTTTTATTTAACACATGTAAACATGCTTATTCCACAAGCTTAAATACCCAACATCAAAAATCTATCATCACATTACCTTTTAAACTCATTCCTTTCCCACCCAACACATGCTTACAATTTTTGTGGCTCACAATATCAAAATAATGCCATGGAAATAGAGTTTTATTACCTCTAATAGCTTGTACAAGGTGTAGGGAGCCATCTCCAAGCAAAACTCCTCTTAAAATACACTTTCTCCTCCTTGATGAATAGTGACACGAAAATGGAGGGAGGAAGAACTCTTCACACACTCAACTATGGCTCAAATTGATAGGTGGGATGGATTCATTAGACTTTTTCCTATGATTTTCATGTATGGATCAAAGGATTTGGATGAGTATTTAGGGAGAAATCAAAGAAATAAAAATCAAAGCCCTAACCCCCTTCTTCCAAGGTGCAGCTCGGGTTTCTGAGGGATGAGAGGAGAGAGAAATTGATTTGGATAGTGAGACTTGAGTGACTTGGTCTTTTATGCACAGTGGCTTTTTAGTCAGATGTTTTTCTATTGCGTATTTTAACTTAACGGACCTGAAACTAACTTATAGCTACGGACATATTTTTATTTTTGTGAACTCATTTACATATATTTTTATTTCCTAAGGAATCATATTCATGATTTACAGTACCGTTTCTGTACCGTTTTTGACAAAATGCACTGTGGTTCATTAATTATGAACTGTTTGCATCCGAAACTTAAAACTTATAGACTTATCATTCTTGGGTCTATTTTGACTTGCTTGGCATATATTGGACTTTCTTATTCTTATTTCATAAATTATTTGTTTCTGGAATCTACCGGTTGCTTAAACAGCAGTACAAAATACCCGGTAGAAACACTATTCACGAGATTTTCACGGAAAGTGCCAGACTATACAATTTTTCGTTCTGAACTCATATTTGACGTCAGAATTATCAAATTATGTCTCTAAAATTATTTTGCTCTTTTAAGCTCTACCGGTTAATTCACAAAACTGTAAATTCTCCGGCAGAACGCACTGTTCATAACATAGTCATGATTACAGTCAAAATACTCGGAATCACTCACTGAATCTAATTATGGCATTTAAATCCTTAAATAAAATCTCTAATTAAGATTTACCATTTAGGGTCATTATATTCACCCCACCTTTTAAGGATTTTGCCCACAAAATCAAATACGAAATATCACACATACCTGACGTCAAACTCAGGATACCGCTGGAGAATTTCATTCTCCCGCTCCCAAGTAGCGTCCTTAGGAGTCAATCCTTCCCATTGTACCTTGATCATGGGAATAGTCCTGTTTCTCAACACTTTTTCATCACGTGCTAGAACCTTCAACGGTCCTACAACAAACTTCAAGTCTTTTCTTACTTCGATATTGTCCGGCTGTACAATGTGGGATGCATCCGACACGTATTTTTGAAGTTGACTGATGTGAAACACACTATGCAGATTTGACAGATGTGGAGGTAAGGCAAGCTGGTAAGCCACAGGTCTGACCCTCTTTATAATCTGGTAAGGCCCAATGAACCTAAGACTCAACTTCCTCACTCCTAGAGCACGCCCAACACCCGTAGTCGGAGACAAACGGATAAATACATGATCCCCTTCAGAAAATTCAAGAGGTCGGTGTTTTGCATCATAATAACTCTTTTGGCGGCTCTGTGCTTTCTTCAATCGATCCTTAATCACCATAATTTGATCGGTAGTCTCTTGGACCATATCAAGCCCAAATAACTGCCTCTCACCAATTTCTGACCAACACGTAGGCACCCTGCACCTACGGCCATACAAAGCTTCATAGGGAGCCATGCCCAAACTGGCATGATAACTATTATTATAGGAAAATTCCACCAGAGGAAGATACTTATCCCATGCATTTCCCTGCTCTAAGGCACAAGCCCTCAACATGTCCTCCAGAGTCTGAATTGTCCTCTCAGTCTGCCCATCAGTCTGGGGATGATAAGCCGTACTCAGCCTCAGCTGCGTACTGAATGCCTGTTGCACTGCATCCCAAAGTCGAGAAGTAAATTTAGGGTCCCGATCACTAATGATACTTTCACGAACACCATGCAGTTTCCCTAACCCCATTCTTCCAAGGTGCAGCTCGGGTTTGTGAGGGATGAGAGGAGAGAGAAACTGATTTGGATAGTGAGACTTGAGTGACTTGGTCTTTTAAGCACATGTGGCTTTTTAGTCGGATGTTTTTCTATCGCGTATTTTAACTTAACGGACCCGGAACTAACTTATAGCTACGAACATATTTTTATTTTTCTGAACTCATTTACATAAATTTTTATTTCCTAAGGAATCATATTCATGATTTACAATGACGTTTCTGCACCGTTTTTGACGAAATGCACTATGGTTCATTAATTATGAACTGTTTGCATCCGAAACTTAAAACTTATAAACTTATCATTCTTGGGTCTATTTTGACTTGCTTGGCATATATTGGACTTTCTTATTCTTATTTCATAAATTATTTGTTTCTGGACTCTACCGGTTGCTTAAACAGCAGTACAAAATACCCGGTAGAAACACTATTCACGAGACTTTCACGGAAAGTGCCATACTATACAATTTTTCGTTCTGAACTCATATTTGTCGTCATAATTATCAAATTATGTCTCTAAAATTATTTTGCTCTTTTAAGCTCTACCGATTAATTTACAAAACTGTAAATTCTTCGGCAGAACGCACTGTTCATAACATAGTCATGATTACAGTCAAAATACTCGGAATCACTCACTGAATCTAATTATGGCATTTAAATCCTTAAATTAAATCTCTAATTAAGATTTACCATTTAGGGTCATTATATTCACCCCACATTTTAAGGATTTTGCCCACAAAATCAAATACGAAATATCACACATACCTGACGTCAAACTCAGGATACCGCTGGAGAATTTCATTCTCCCGCTCCCAAGTAGCGTCCTCAGGAGTCAATCCTTCCCATTGTACCTTGATCATGGGAATAGTCCTGTTTCTCAACACTTTTTCATCACGTGCTAGAACCGTCAACGGTCCTACAACAAACTTCAAGTCTTTTCGTACTTCGATATTGTCCGGCTGTACAATGTGGGATGCATCTGACACGTATTTTTGAAGTTGACTGATGTGAAACACACTATGCAGATTTGACAGATGTGGAGGTAAGGCAAATTGGTAAGCCACAGGTCCGACCCTCTTTATAATCTGGTAAGGCCCAATGAACCTAGGACTCAACTTCCTCACTCCTAGAGCACGCCCAACACCCGTAGTCGGAGACAAACAGATAAATACATGATCCCCTTCAGAAAATTCAAGGGGTTAGTGTTTTGCATCATAATAAC